AATTCATCTTCACGAATTTTGGTATGAGTTATTGCTCATAGAAATAATGTAATATCGGAAGAAATTGTTCAGATCGGCTCACTATAGCATATAGCTACCATACAAACCGAACTATCGGAATCAAGGGAAAACTTTTGACGTGGTATCTTCACGAAATCTGATATGGATTACTGCTTAAGGTAATAACAAAATTGTTTAGATCGGCTTACTATAGCATATAGTTTCCATACAAACTGGACACATAGCTATTACAAGTAAAATAAATGCATCTGTGAAGGGTATATTAGCTTCGGAGCAGCCGAAGTTAACGTTTTTCTTGCTTTTTTTTTAATTTTTGTAAGTTTTTGAAAGTATTTCTTGAACTGAAACACATGATAACAAGTATGAAGTTAAAATATTTTTGATTTTCTAAGTAATGGTATTTACTCAAACTATGATACTTGTATTGATCAAGAATTCGGTATATGAAATTCGCTATTTAATTTCAGCTAAGAAAAAATTTCGTAAAATTATATAGATTGAGTATACTACTTTTTCTAACAGTGAATTTGAAGTCGAATAGAGAGCACCTCCTGGGTGCGATTTTGGATAAACTATTGAATTTGCCAATAAATGTTATTTTATCTCATACAATTTTCCTTCCATACGTAATTAAATATTTTCGCTACTCTTAAAGTAATTGAAATGCGATTACTGTAGTTTAYACAGGAATAAATGAATATCCATCTTATTAYAGTGTTAAAGCGCGCCTCAAAATTCAAATATAATTTTGCATTGTAGCCAAATCAGACCAAATACTTGTTTTTGGGTATTTAAATTAAAWCACACAGCATTTATTACTGGTAAGGCGTTACATGGATTTGCGGCTATAAAAAAAAAACGATTTTTTTATTGTCTTATTGAATTCTACAACACCTCTAGAATATTGACCTAAATTTTCTAATTTACCTGAGTAATAGTTTCGGAGATATAGCTTAGCGCACAAGTTCTCAAAGGCTAAGTGCGTCGTGTTTAAACGCGTTTTTCTCGAAACTATGTTTTTGAAGTCGATTGGAAAGATTTCTCGAGAACTACTCAACTAATAATCATGAAAACTTACACAAATCTTTGAGATACAATTCTTA